ATATTTGATTCAGCCTACGAGCTATATTTACACTATACTAGCAATTGTATACAGTTCGTTATCGTTTTTCCGTCCTTACCCAACGTCAAAATTATATTGGTAGGATTATGTTCCTGTACCCCATCTTATGAAAATTTGAAAACGTGTAAACATAGTGGGGCGAACACCCTTGGGCCTGTTCAAGTGTGTCCAAAATTGTATCAAAGTCTCATCCTTCTGTATTTTGTAGAAATGGAGTTCAAGAGGACCGCTTCAAGATGGCAAAAGTTAACAGGATTCTTGACACTTCTCTGCGTTATTCTTATGATCATAGTCGTTGTCTTATCAGTCCTGTATAACGCAGAAGTAAAAAAGTCCGAGTCACTAGCTGAGCAATTGACCGCCAGTCAATCACAGACGACATCCCCAGTAACCATGGACACCATTGATACATCTGAACCTGAGAACCCAGATATATTTCACGATTTAACTACAAAGGAAATTCAACGTATTCAATCTATTCAATGGCCACCTGGTGTTATTATCTTTGCTATGGATTTAATTATACCCTCGAAAAACGAAAGTTTAGCTTATCTTTCTGGTAAAGGAGTTAAACCTCCTCGTCAAGCACGATTAATTGTATATAGGCTCGACAAACAACCAATGGTTATAGAAGAACACTCTGTAGATTTAAGCCAGAAGAATTTGACTACGGAGTTGATACAATATCCAAACAGGAGAAATCCCGTGGAAATATCTTCTAGACCAACTAGTCTGTTCGATGTCAGAGAAGTGCTCAAGTTGGTTCAATCTGAAATAGGTGATATTATACAAGAAAGTTACGATGCCAATATAACCGACTGTAACAGTCACAATAATGAGAAATGCTTGTTGCCTATTCCCATTGCTGTTACCACTTCATATCTTGGAGAGTTAAAGAGTGCGGAGTGGGTATGGTTTTCCTACATAGTAGATTTTGTAACTCTGTATCCAATAGATTTAATGTTCTACGTTACGTTTGAGACAACTTATCCATTTGCTTTTACTGTTGAAAAGGTTAGTTATGGTGGCCAAATGTTCAACTCTTTGTCGGAATTCAAAACAGCTTACGAATCTGGAGCAGTGATGAAATCTAAATTTTCTTTCCCAGACGTAAAAAATGAGTCCTTCTCGACTTTGAACAGGCGGGGTCCAGATCCCCAACCATTCCCAACCAAACCACGTCCACACATTGTTGAACCAGAGGGACCACGATACACCATCAAACATAGACATATAGAATATCATGATTGGAAGTTTGAAGTGCGAATGTCTATGTTTCAAGGACCACAAATCTTGGATGTGAAGTACCTTGGAGAAAGGATTGCATATGAAATTGGGATGCAAGAAATAGTAGCATATTATTATGGAGATTCGGGGGTATTAAGAGTATCTAAACTGGTGGATGGGGCGTTGTTATTAGGAGTTAGTTCAGGTGTGTTAACACCAGGCTTAGATTGTCCAGAAACTGCAACTTACTTAAACACACCTATGACTGAAGGTGGACCAAAACGGAATTTGTGTGTTTTCGAATTAGATTCGGGAATACCATTAAGACGTCATGCTGGAAAAGGCCTTGTGGATAGTTACTTAGTTGTTCGGTCAGTCATTGTTATTTTCAATTACGACTATATTGTGGATTTTATTTTCCATCAAAGTGGAATATTAGAAACCAGGGTTGCCAGTACTGGATACATTCTATCTGCTGTATATTCAGATAAAGAAAGGGAATATGGTTTCCATCTACACGATGCTATATTTGGACCTATTCATCATCACCTCTTTCATTTTAAAGTAGACATAGATATTCTGGGTACATCTAATCGCTATGGGACACTTGATTTTAAAACTGTTAACGTATCCAATGCGGACTGGTTAACAGCTGATAGTTATCAAACTCAAATCAAATTCGAACATAATCTCAAACAAACTGAACTGGAAGCTGCTTATGAATTTAATTTTGACACACCAAAAGAGCATATTTTCTATAATGAGGATAAGAAAAATAGGTTTAACGTATCCCGTGCCTATAAAGTACAAATAACTGGTATGTCAAAACAGTTACTACCAGAAGGTACGCCTGGGGAAGATGCTGTTGCGTGGTCGCGGCACCAGTTGGATGTAACAAAGTTTAAAGATGAAGAATACACAAGCACCTCTTTATATGCATCGTTTGATGGCCACGATCCTGTGGTTGATTTCTCTAAATATTTCGCCGATGATGAAAATATAGTGGATGAGGTTAGTAGCATTATAATTTGCGATTAGTGACGTCATTAAACATTTAGTTTTAGTGGAATTTCAGGAACCACACACGTCTGATATTTCTAATTATGTTTTTTCTATATATCACAGAGTATCTTAAAATGACGAGTCGTCAATTTAACATTCAATCGTGGATAATGCTAGACACACACGGATTTTAAGGCTCAAATTTTTTCGATGATGAGCTGTGAACTATATTTCTGATTGACTTAACTAAAAAAACATCTCAATTCTGAAACTAAAGTATGTGGGTAAAAATTGGTGCACCTATCCCTTTAAAGCATTTCATTTTGTGAACTTTAAGCACTTTAGGATTTTACTCCGATCAGAAAGCATTCTTTATGTTAGTACTCTTCCTAAAAACTCGTAGTTCCTGAGTGAATTATTTCCTAGCCTATGTATGAGTGAGCACTTAGCTAATAAAACAAGGGTTCTCAACCTTTTTCTTTCTAAAATCCTTGATTAATTGCAGTACCACACATCGTCCCGTTAGATCCTGACTATTTTGCGACTTTCTCTTAGGTTTTCCGTACAATGCTTTTCATGTCGGAAAATATAGCCTGAATAAAACGACTTAAAATATAATTGTCCAAAATGTTTGTACGAGAATACAAAGAGCATCATTATCTCGCAAAAATGTCAAAATCACCCCTATGGAGTAGTAAGCCTAAGGTTGAAAACCCTAGAAATAGAAGCTACAAGTGTCCGCACAATGCAAAATACTTCCCCTTATCACAATTTCCTTGTATTTCAGGATATAGTGGCATGGGTATCTTTAGGAATCATCCATCTACCAACTACTGAAGATCTGCCCTTAACTCAAACACCAGGAAAACAGTTAGCCTTTATTTTAGCTCCACACAATTATTTTGAGGAAGATCCTTCCGTGTCCTCCTATGATCAGGTATAAAGACAAAAGAGGGTGTCGAATCTAAACATTACCTCACAATTGAAACTTACTAAATTACACATGATTTTAATGCTATATTATGACTATTGGTTATCAAATGATATATTTTATTACCAGTTTGAATAGATATCTTGCGAATGTTTTGTTTTCATTGACTTTTTTTGACAAACACTTAAAGTCAGGTAGGTAGGTAGATGACAAGTTAACTTTCGCTTCCAGCGGATGCTGATATCGCAAACTAGGTAGTTGTTGGACTTACAGCCATAAACGACCAGCCTCTTATATGTAAATTACCAGAATCACGTGATCACGTGACAATATTGGCATAGTTCCGGTTAAAAAAAATGTACCTAATCAATTTTGGTTTTCAAAAAATTTCATTTGGGAACCCTTTCAGACGCTCCATGAAACGCTTGCGCCTGTGCTCTTCCGCAGGAGACTTGTCTCCTCATTAGGTCAATTTGCCCTTGTGAACACAGATTTGGCGTTTTGTTCTCTTAGAATTGGACATTAAAATGGGAATTAGAAAATATGATAGAAATTACAAATGGCACCGAACCCGGACATAAAGCCCTTAACTTCGTAACAAGAAATTTTTCTATGTTTTGATAGTGTTTTGATGTGACTGATAGTTCGACATAGAAATTTCAATATGTAATTAACTTTATCAATTGTAAGACACTTTTTCATATTAATCCAGTTTTGATATATTTTTACTTGATTTAACAAATAAATATATATTTTGATATGTAAAACGCAATGTTTGTAACAGGTTGTCCACTACAGATATGATATAATACTTCAGAACTGCATTAATAAACAAAACAACCTTCTACGACAAGAATATCGTGTCGCCAACAGGATTTATAAGATCAAACAAGTTTGATAAGTGTCTCCGATGGTTTTATCGTCTGCATTCAGACCGTCATCATCCAATCAGATTCATTTTCCCTTCAATTGCATGCCCGCAAGTGATTATCGACAACGACCGACTGGAGATATTTGTCTCCTCTTGTGCCCGTACGTGTCTGTGAAACTCTTGACAAGACTCTAGTCGGCGACTGAAATTTCCGGCCAAGACCGCTAGTGTGCCCGTACCTTTAACCGCAATGCCTTTTCAAGATGACGCTATTCTGTTAATTAGTACTCGTAATAAATAAATCAATTATTCAATATGTAATATCACCGGGTGATTGATTAATAGAGAAATCTGGCAGATGATATCATCACGAGCAGACGATAGCATCGAATATTCATATCTCATAGGGATACGTGCATATCTGTGTACATAACAACCAATGTGAATTCTAAATAATCGAACTATTTGTACATGATTTTATTCAAGGCATTTTTACAAACTTCCTCAATTACTTAATTCGACCGGTAAAAATAGCTCATTTTCGTATCAAGTTTTTGGGTGTGAGTTACAATTTAAATGTGATCTGTCTTCAAAAATATGACCCATGCAGAATTGTAACTTGCGACAAACGATTCAATATACAAAATGTATAAATACCTATTGCATCTCTTGCAAAAGATATTACTAAATTATATTTTTACGCTTTGAATTATTAGGCATAGATATCCGTCTATTTCGTTTGACAGTGGCTGAGCCAAAGGGGGAAGCCCCGAAATTTCTCTATAATTGGAGACTTCACATCAAGAAATATTCAGGAGGTATGAAAGAGTTATCTTTCCCTTACTTGGCCGATATTCGTCCAGCAATCACGTGTGAGCGCGCGTGTGTGTTGATTTCTCTTATTTTACAAACGGAGGGGTCGAATTAGAAACTTTGATGAAGTTTTTTCTCGATGGTTTGATAATAACTTTGTAAACTCTAGACAAAGACGAAAGGATAATAGCTGCATGGTGACCATTACAGAATATGTGGGATTTATCTTGTTATTTGACTGGATTTTACAAGTTGAAAATTGTTGATATAGATTCATCTGTGAGTGAAGTTCATAGTCAATGATTGGCCAAGGTTGTCAGTGTTTCAATCACAGCGGCGTCAATTATTGATGAGTGTCTTCATTGTATTGGAGAGAAATTAAGAAGATACCTTTTGAGTACTATTGTCTTAATAATTACATGGGAAGACATGAAACGGTGAGTGAAACTTTTTACAGAGTACTATCTGATTGGGCTTATAAAATGTATTTCAATCAATCAACGTAATTAATATACAGGCTTCCCAAAAGATTATGGGCACAGTGGTTTCTGAGATACATTTTATTTATCATTGTCTCCAAAAAACCCAATAAGATTTCAAGACTTGTTTTCTCTGACTACTATCATGTGCTCCGAAATAAATACTGCTTGTCATTCCACAGACATTAGAAAGAATTGTAAGTTTTACTTTGCATTTTGGCAACTCAAAAACATTACCGAAGAACTTAGATTCTTTTATGCGTGAGAGTCATACAAAATTTACAGAAAAAATATTTTCATTGCTTTTTACCAATCAAAATTCTTACAATCTCTAGACACAAAAATATTCTAAAGTAATGATAATCATGTGAAAAATGATTTATTTAAAAAAAAAATATATATAAATTTTAGTTTAAAGCCTCCGTGGTTGTACCTCTCAGAAATTATAAGAGTAAATAGCATGCATTTTTGTCGATTTTAAAATGGAGTTCTACGTCCTTCGTTAGTGTAGGCAGCAGTCCCTCCGACAAGCATCACTAACAAGGGAAAACAGGGTTGTTTAATGGTTACAAAGCCAAGAAAATTGCTTGAAATGTTTGTTGATTTTTTTTTTTACCTAGAAACTTCTAAAATGTACAAAAAGAATGTTTATGGTCTGCCTTATTTTCCTCCTATACGGTAAGTGCATTGCCTATTTTGCTACCTTACACCTTGAATTATTGAAAATTGAATTGTTGAATAAAAGGTCAGTTGTTGAAAGCTCGAACTACCCTTTGATGACCACTTGCACACATGTATTTTTATCTTCTTGAGTTGAAATAATTGTTATAGTTTAGTTCTGTTATGTAATATTTCACAGTGGCCCAAGTAGATGTGTAGGGGTGGGTGGGAATGGTTGGTTTGGTGCTTGATTATATGTAAATAGTCGCATAATTCCTTAAAAATACTTCGAACTAGGAATTTTATATATTATTTCTATATGTCTTTTCTATATATTACAGAGTATCTTAAATTGACGAGTTGTTGATTAGTTTAATTTAATTGTATATTGTGGTACATTTTGTATAAATCTTGAGGTGGGGGCATCCTAGGGTGGATTTGATACCATTATCTCTCGATTATAAACCATCTGGACCTCTAACTGGTTGGGATATTCATAAAGTGCCAAGCACCTAAAAAATAAAAAGAAGCATAATAAATTGCAGAAAAACTTTCAGAGATTAACAAATTCAAATGAATCCTTCCATACCTCTGAGATCCTTCAATCCCTCTGAGATCCTTCAATCCCTCTGAGATCCTTCAATCCCTCCGAGATCCTTGTATTATTACCCTTATATATTTATATCTCATAATTACAGATGGCGTCACAACAGAAATGGAATTATCTCAACAAACAGGTAAATAAACCATGTTGTAAAATATTGTAATTGCCTTCAAAGAAATATTTCATAACACAGGATTAAACTCTAGCGTAACTATATACACCTTGCCATTTTTCAAGTATGTAGACAATCTCTGTTGTTTGTGGATGCTTTACGGTATAGAATCATCCAAGTTGAAATTATTCTTAGCAAATACCAGATGGATTTTGTATTTGTAGGGCTTCTGGACTTCGGTTATGATCATGGTGATAGTGTAATTGGAATTGGTGATGACGTCAGTACTGAGTTGCATCTTACTACAGGTTTTACATGTGGCTGTACCAAACATAACATTATATATGTAAGCGTCTAAAATAACTCACTGTGCTTCACAAATTGTCAGTTTTCTGTAGTCAGAACGGTAAAACACTTTTTTCAATTACAAATGTCCAAATTTCAACGGCTAATGCTAAAGTAGGTCTATCTGAAAAGTAAGACGGTCCTTGAGGAGTTAAGTAGCGATACCAGAACTAATGCTTAATGATTGACAAATATTTTTATAATTTTATTTATAGATTCATTCCGATGGGTATATCAGTTTGAAGCACAATGCTCAGAATATTATTTCCCAAAAGTTCCCTGTGGCTGCTGACCATGATCATAACATCATAGCACCATTCTGGACAGATGGGATTGTTAGAGCTAATGTCAGCAATGTTTGGTATCATCTCTACGATCGTTACGATTTTACCAAATCTCTGGATATTCAGAAGAATGTTCAACAGCACCTACGGGGAATTGGCAACTTTGCCAAAACCCATGTTGCTAACAAAGATTTTGAAGTGCATGCTTCTCTTTTGGTTACATGGGAAAACATCGTGCCACATACAGTGTCTGTAACTATAGAGGTAAGGTTCTGGTTCCTGCAATTCCACTAAAACTAGGGGTTTGATCACGTCCCTAATCGCGAAGGGCCTTATGTGATAAACATATTTTTTGATAAGTGACGGCGTCAAATACTTAATTTTAGTGGAATTGCAGGAAACAAAGACGTCGTATTGAAAATCGGAATGGTGCAAATGAAAGCTATCAGTGTCCTCGATACACATACCAATATTAGAAAACCTCTTTACAATTCCTTTAATGCATTTTGTATTAGTGCTGGTCAAATATTGAAGTTGCTTGTAGGTCCTATATAGATGCTGCTGCATATACTCCAGCAGTGCACAATTGACTGCTCAAAGGGGTTATGGAAACTGTAACGACAGACAGAAGCGTATTACAACGAGTTATAAGCATTTGTCTGACATATGATTACTATTTACGTATATATTTATGACGATTCATTCTCCCAAGTCAAAGAGTCTTACACGCCTGTTTTATATATTCTTTCTAATCCTTGGATACTGTATCAGTAATTTTTGGCATATCTTTTACAGGTGAACACATTTCAACTACTGTTGGTAACGGATGGTTCAGTCACGTATA